CTACATGGCTGTCAAGACAAAATACTTGTATCCATATGGGTAAATCTCAGAGAGAGCCAATGCAGACTTCAAAAACACAAACTACAATATGCCATCTACATGGCAAAAATATGCCACTTTCAGCCAAAAAAGGGCAAAAATACTTAAATATCGTCTACAGATACAAAACTATCATTCCCATGTGTGTTTTCTATACTTTTACTAAACACCCAGTACTGAATTCAGAATGGTGCTTTCCTCGGAGAAAGAAGGGGAGGGGAAGAAAGAGAAAGACAACTAGAACAGCTGGTTTTCAGCAACAAAATTGTTTTAAAAACTGAAACCTTTCATACACAAGCAGCAAAAGCAAGCATGACACAATGTTAACATCTTAGTGAAAAATCATATGCAAGGAAAGAATATGGGAAATGCTTCATCAACAGGTTGTTCTCAGAACGCATCACCAGTACCATCTCATTTCAGAGGAGGTTTTCCCAATGTGTGATAGAGTACGGAGTAATTACGTCCTAAATCAGGTTTTAGAAACGTGAGATAAAAACACATACATTTTAACCATGACAAATAGTTCTCCTGTGACTGATTCAGGCTTCTAGGTCTTAAACTTCCCCAGAATCTTACATGCCAACAGAATCCTTGAGAAACAGCCCAGATCATGACAAAAAAAGAATTTCCAAATATGGGAGCTATTACTAAAAATTTAATGATCAGAATTAGAATCTGCTGTATTTGTGCAGTGTGTTACCTGTACATGTCTACAGACACTCACCATAGCTGTAATCTCATCAAACGACTGCAGAAATTCTACAATTTTAGACTTGTGGGAAGGTTCAACTCGAGCGAAACAGCGAGCATTCAAGCAGGCTTCTCTCTGGGCTGAAGGATTGAGCTCATCAAACTCGCGACCAGTGAAGGCCTTTGCTGTCACGTCCTCGTCCTGCCTGAAGATGCCAATGCGGCGGCAGATGGCCACAGCAGTGCCCTTGTTGTCGCCTGTGATCATGATGACTCGGATGCCTGCCTGCCGGCACAGCTTCACAGAGGAGGCCACTTCAATTCTCGGAGGGTCCAGCATGCCCACACAGCCCACGAAAGTCAGATTGGTCTATAGTGAAAGAATCACCTTTTGTCAAAACAGGAAATTCTAGTTTTTTCCCCCTAGTGTGGAGAGCAAAGGTTTCTGCATTTTCTTTTGGCAGAATTCACACCACTGATGTTAATATACATCCAATGAAGAATAGTATTAACTCTAATAAATCAGAAGCAAAAATATCACTACATTCTTATTACCAAATAATTCTTGAGCTTTCATTAATAATATTCTTAAATAAGGAAAAAATATACTGAGGAATAGGAACATATTGACAGCAGCCAATCAGTGACCCATAGTAATCAAATTTGAACTAGAAACTTCACTGTTCAAGGCTTCAGGAAGCCACATACCCGACAGGAAAGAACTCCAAGAGCAGAAGTAGACAGAATCTTTCCACGTGAACAATGTGAGTCAGTAATTAATGAATAGTCTGAAAATGTCCCCAATTTTAAATTATCTTAATTTACATGAGAGCAGCACAACACGTTTTTAGCCTTGACTGTACTTTGAAAGTAATAGGCCTGTATTAAACTGTTAACTGTGTATGTCTGAAGCAGCAACTTAAATTATAAAGAGGATACATTTGGCCTGCAGGAAAACAAATAACCACACCCCTTTCTCAGCAAAAGCAAGACTCATCTGACCTTTTACTGAAGGAGGCTACCTAAACAGAATGAATGTGCAGGGTGCGGGTGAAGCTTCTCATTAGCTGACCTCGTATTTAATAAAGTTGGCAGAGTCCTCAAGGTTCATTTCTTCTCTCCTCAGTGGGTTGTCGTGAGTGGCCAGGGCCAGGCACCGCAGTGTGTCGCTGCCACTGCCCCATTCCCGGATGACAGACATGATCTTCTGTTTGACTCCAGGAGTCATGGGCACTTTGGTGCTTCCGACTCGAATGTGAGTGCACCTGTCAATGACACCTTCAGGAGCACCCTGGAAATGTTAGATTTAGAACAATTTTATTTACTGGTTCACTCAGGATTCCAATCCTGGTAAGAACATTTAATTGCAAGCTGCTGTACTTGCCTTCACAAACATTTTGCTCATTGATGTCCGGCTTGGTTTGTTTGGTGTACAATAAACTGACATTGATTTTCTATCACGTGAAAACTCTAGAGTAAATTCCTTTTTCATCAATTGTTTAATGACCTATAAAGAGAACATATATGGAATATTATTGGATAGCAATTTCTAAAAACTTTTGACTTTTAACAGTTAAACATTCACTAAATACCTATTACGTGACAGACACTGGAGATTTAGCAATAGACAATAAACAGACAAGTTCCCACCCTCATAAAACTTACCCTGTAGTATGGGAAAGACACACTAGAATGTGAAGTAGATTATAAGTGCCATGGAGAAAAAATTTAAAAATAAGCAAGAAAGAGAAAATTATGTATGTTTAGGTTACAGTTTTACATACAGTACTGGGAAGGCAATATATGAGTCAAACATGAAGGATGTGTGTGTGTGTGAGCAGAGAAAACATTATGCAGACTGACCGACCGAGCAGTTCAAGGAGCCTCCAGGGCAACACGGCTGGAAGCAAGTTTGCAAAAAAGGTTAGGGGTTAATGGCAGGGGTTGCAGATGCAGGTTGTAGCATCCTGAAAGTCACTGTAAGGCATCTGGCTTTTTTAACAAGTGAAACAGGAAGACAATGGAGAGTTTCAAGCTCTGGCAGTTATGTTAAGAATTAACTGAAAGAAGGGCAAGGAACACCACACCACTTCAGTATTTTAAATACTTTTAGACAGCTAGTGGCTATATTAGATGTCAGCACAGTGACAGTATTTAAAGTCATGAGGCCATGGCTAATTCATTTCAATGTATGACAAAAACTACTGTAATGATGTAAAGTAATTAGCCTCCAACTAATAAAAATAAATGGAAAAAAAAAAAATGAAAAAAAAAAAAAAAAAAAAGTCATGAGAAGAGTTCAAGGGAGTAACTGCAGACAGGAAAGCCGAGGCCTGGGCCCTGGAGCCTCTTGGAAGATACAGCCAAGGAGATAGGGTTGGGGGGAGAACAAGTAAAGGACTCTTTTTAGGGAGGGAGAGACTGAGAGGATAAACTGACAGCTCAGGTAAAACAAAAACTGAGAATTAACCTTTAGATTCAGATTCCATTGGTTTATCTATATATACAGCCATATTACCATAAAATCAACATACTTCATTTATCCTTTCCAATTTTTTGTTGGCTTTCTTTTTCTTACCTCATTACATGAACTAGGGCTGCCAGTACTACACTGAATAGAAATGTTGAGAGTAAATTCTCCTGCCTGTTAGGAATGTTAACTTTGTGTAGTTACACCATCAACCAGAAGATGCTTGCTTAGTTTTTATCATAAACTGAGATCAAATTTTATCAGATGCCTTTTCTGATTTAAATGATCTTATGATATTCTGCCTTTTTTCAGTTATGTGGTGAGTTACATGGATTTTCCCCTCATTCAGACAAACATTTAATAATAACTGTAAAAACCCCAAAGAACCTCAGCAACCAACAGAGGCAACTGTGAGTGGAATGAAGCCATCCTCTCAGCCAGAGCAATAAAAGGACAATCACTAAATTCAACATTATCTGATGATATATCACTTATCTATTTGTCTTTTTTTTTTTCTGGGGGGGGGGGGGGTTTGGTGGCACACAGCCATCTTACAGGGATCAAACCAGTGCTCCCGGCAGAGGCAGCGCAGTCTTGACCACTGGGAATTCTCCTGTATCTAGTTTCCATTAAGCATTTGTACCAGTGGCCCTGGGAAGCCTGCAAGAACGTGCAGTGACTCTGAGTGAGGTGTGACCTCGGCACCAGATACATCCTGCATGCTAATTACTTCAGTCTGTCTGACTCTTTGTGACCCTATGTACTTACTGTCTGTCCATGGGATTCTCCAGGCAGGAACACTGGAGTGGGTGGCCATGCCCTCCTCCAGGGGGTCTTCCCAACCCTTGGATGGAACCTGCACCTTTTACACCTCCTGCACTGGCAGGTGGGTTCTTTACCACTAGTGCCACCTGGATACATCCTGGGTGGAGAGGACAAAGCCACTGCTTCCAGGACCAGGGCTGTGAAATTCAGCAGTCCTATCCAAAGGGGCCACTTGGCCTTAAAAAGCTGGTCCTGCACTGTTGCTGCTGGCTGTTTCCCTTCATTGAGTAGTTAGAGGTAATTAAGTAATTCTAAACATCAGTCTCTGTGAAGCTGAAATTTTCAGGTTGCCTCTGAAGGGTTTAGTCAAACACCAACTAGTAACAGAGCTATCAGGCAATGTGGCTTTGCTTACTGACAAGTGGGGTGAATTCCCTAAAACAGAAACAAAGGACCTGGACTTGTTTCATGGAAACCATAAGTCTGGGAAGGATGCCACAGGAGAGGCCCAAGACCCTTGTGGCTGTGAGACTGTTGGTTGTGAAGCATGAATCGAGTTACTGTGAAAGATTCTATACTTCAGCTGAGGCATCTTCCATTCTGGCACGAGTTTTGATTTCCCTGGAGAGTATAAAAGAGGCACACTGACGTAAAGAAAACAGAGTGCTGGAGCAGGGTCCTGTTCTGCCTCACACTGCGAGATGGTATGCAAGTCATTGAGGGCCTCAGTTTCCCTGCTTGCAAGTGTGAGACTCGACTGGATGGTCCTAAAGTCCTTTTTACAACCTGAGATTTGGTGTGGTGACTAAATGCTTAAACAGCTGATGTCTTTAACAGGTGCACTGTTGCCCACCTTAGGCTACCTGTGCTGTGAGGTGCCACCCTACTCCCCCAAAACACTGCCTCCTCATCTGCCCTGGATACCTAAGGAAGGATGAAAAAAAGTCACCATAGTGATAGCTGAAATAAGCTTTGCTTTTGTATAACTAGGAAGGCTGTATTTATAACCTCCTGTTTCTCTTTCTTCTACCAGAAAACCCTGACTGAAGGAAGAGTAGCACTAAAGTGCTACAACGAGGAGCCTCAAGCACTGACTGGCTGCCCCTTGGAGATGACAGGCATATAGGTCTGACACTAAGAGCTTGTTTAGCAGAGCCCAACTCTGAAGAAACCTAAACTCCAAGGCTGGGAGGCAGTGGGTAGTGGGAACAGGTCTAGAGGACCCAATGCAGACCGCATTAACACCATCCTGCATGCACTGCAGGGAGACTGTTGCAGAGGGGCTCTGTGCTTCCAGGTCTGCAAGGGCAGGACCAGACGCAGACTTCAGGGCCTGACTTGTTTCCTCCTAGATCTCTTCTGCTCCTGCTTGTCCTCACAGTCCCTTCAACCCACATTCTCTGGCTTCTGCAGCTTCCATTTCTGAGCTTCCTTAGGTTGCTTCTGGGCATCTAGGCTTCTTCTCTTCCTCTTGTTCTAATTCTACCTGCCACTGCCTGTCACTCTGACCTTCGTGTATGGTAACATCTTGTTCACATGTTGCTTCTCAGCTAACATCTTGTTCACTCTGCTTCTCGGCTAAGCAACCACTCACCACTATGGCTAGAACAGAGGTTATTGCTTAGGTCCATTCAGCTGGTATCACCATGACCATAAGCGACAAGTTGGTCAGCAAACACTAGGCCTGAGCCTCAGCAACCTGAACAAGGTCCATGTCATGGATCTGCCAGCCCTTTTTGGGACCACATGCTGGATCTGTCCTGCAATGACCAGTCAACTGGATTCTGTGGCCTCACACACTTGGTGCAGCTAAACCTGAATAAAACCATCTGCAACAGCTGCTGGCAGACAATGGCCATCTGGTCGACCTCCAGCACCTGGGTCCTTAACAGGCCAGTCCATCCGGCCTGCCACTTTGCTCAGCCTAAGAAAATCCTGGCTCTGGGCCTCTGACAGGCCAGGAAGAACAGCTGAGGGATCACACATTTGTCTAAGTGTTCACATACCTAACAGACACACCTGCACCCCCCAGTGTTGCTACTCCACTCACCACAGTTGTAGTAACTCTGCTCAAATAAATACAGCCTGTCAAAGTTTTAATTACTACTAGATTCAATGTGCTAACATTGTGCTGAGAATCTCTACTTCTGTATTATGAAAGTTACATCAATGTCACGTTTTGCTATCAGGGTTATGCTGATGATAAAAGTTTCGTTTTCTGCCATTTTTGGTGTGGCCACACTGTGCAGCTAGAGAGAAAGTGTCAAGTCCTAACCACTGGACAGCCAGGGAACTCCTGAAAACTTGTTATTTCTTCAGTATTGGCACAACTGGGCCTGAATAATTTGAAGGGAAGCGTAGATTTTGAAATATAGATCCAGTTAATTTATCAGGCATAGGATTATTCCATTTTTCTTAGGAAACTGTCAGCTTAGAAAGCTGTGCTACTGAGAGGATTTGTTCATTTCTTCTATGCTGTCAAATTTATTGATATAAAAATTTTCAGAACAGCTTTTTGATCTTGTCTTTATCATTTCCTACTTTCTTCTACTTGTATTTGCTTTTCCGTTTTCTTCAGATGGAAACTTACGTATCTTTTTAATTGATTTCTAGTTTAATTCTATTGTGGTCAGCCTGTACAATCCTTTGTAATTTGTAGAGTCTTGCTTCATGGACCAGCAATATGGTGTATTCTGGTAAATTGTTCCTTATGGGTCTGAAAAGCATATTAGGAACAGCACAACAGAAATAAGGATTAAGTATATTTACATGTATTGCTCCATATCCTGATTTTTTTCATTTGCTTGTTCTATCAATTTTTGAGATAGGTGTACCTCCAACTCTAATTGTAAATTTGTCTAGTTTACCTTTTATTTCTGTCAACTTTTGCTCTGTGAACTTTAAAATGTGTTAGTAATACACTTGATTAAACAATTAGACCATTTAACACAAGGTCATGGGCAACTCTGATAAGTTTTGATAGACTGGAAGGAGGCAAAAGCTTGACTGGAGTGGACTCAAGAAAACGGGAAAAGTGAAATAATACATGAAAATGGTTCTTTGAGACATTTTACCATAAAGGAAAAGAAGCAGGATGCTTAAGTGAAAAAGTTTTAAGATAAAAAACAACTATTATTTCTCTAATGAAGATCCAGTAGAGATAGGAGGTTGATAATGCAGAGAAGATGCTGGGACAAGGAGCAGCTGGGTTTTACTGGGAGCAGAAAGAGTACCTGTCACAGCACAGGTGGCTGCATATGGAAATTGTCCATTGGTAACTTTTATTTTCTTGGTCAAATGGCCAGATCAATTTATCTTATAGTGAAGACGGAGAAGGAGATACTGAGAGAGAATTTGAGGAAATAAAGTATAGAGTAAGTTGTCTAAGAGAGTGAGTGAGTAGACTGATGGGCAGCATGAACAACACCAAGTTCAAATACTGACCGAGTTGCAGGCATTTGCTCGTTCTATTTTAGAAAGACCCTTCAATTCAGTATCAAATACATTCATCTTCTCTACCAGGCAAGTGAGAGCAGTCTCTGTAGCTTCTCCAACTTTTTCATACACACCCTTCGCCTGTAGTAGCAGAAAGCATACAAATTACAAAAAGGGAAAAGTAGTAAAAACAAGTAAATTTTCTTTAATAAAGACTTTTCCCTCCATTACATCATTGTTCTCTGGGTCGTTTTTATCCTATCCTGGAGCACATGATCCAAATGATTAAAAATAAACTCAAAGGACAGGTGTGCATTAGATCTTTTTCTAATAATTATGTCTTTCATTCCCCTGAACTATAAGCCAATAATCACAGTATTAAGTGAAACATGAGAGCTTGCAAATAGTATTTGTAATTCAATGTCATTATTTATCATTCTACATAATTTATATTTTGTTTCTGTTGGGGACTGGCTTGCCTTTAGAAACCAAAAAATGTATCTCACTGTTTATAATTTAAAAAGGGAGGGAAGAAGGTTTTCTGTTGGTTAAATTTTATATAACAACATCATCAAAACAACCTTCTAAGCCTCAACTTGTCCTCAAGGATGCAATGATACCCATCTGAAAAAGCCAAGATCAACACCCTGTACTTTCAGGAAAAAGCATCTTGGGTTTTACTCATTTATAGTAACTAAGCTACACACAGAAGAGAACATCATGTGTGCTACAGCTCCGAGTTGAGTAACTGCAATGCTCAGCCACAGAGAACATATGAAAGGCTCCCAGCTTTTTGGGGGTAGATCATGCTGGCTCTGATAAGAGACAAGCTCTTAATGGAAAGGGCAAATAAAATCAGGAACTCGTACTTTCAAAAAGGGAGGAACGAAAAAAAAAGGGGGGGGGGAAGAACGAAGGCTAGACTTTCATCCCTCCCACTGCACCCTTGAACTAGAAACAGCCAGGTCTAGTTTCTCATTTATGAGGAGGCTCACCTCATTGTAATCCAAAGCAGAGTCATTACAAAGAGCACAAATTGTTGCCAGTTCCACAAGACCATCATACTGATGACATTTCACTGGTTTATCATCTTTATGTCTGTCAGAAGAAAAAAAAGTAACTCTTAAAGCACATTGTGGTCAACTGTAGTCATTTTTATTTATTTTTTTTACTAAAAAATAGAATTTTGTGTACAACAGATTGGCAAGCATTCAAAATAATTCAAGTGATGGCTCCTAGAAATTCGATGCTGGAGACGGTAACAGAATGTGTCTCTGGTATCAGTAGTTAATCAGACCAGAAGTTCTCAGTTACTGAAATTCCTCCACCACTGGTATCCATAAAGAAAAAAACAGGAATTCCCTGGTGGTCCAGTCCTTAGGACTTGGTGCTCTCACTGCCGGGGCCCTGGGTCTGGTTCTTGGTTGGGGAACTAAGATACCGAAAACTGTGTGGCATGGCAAACAAACAAAAATAAAAAATCACCCCCAAAACTCCACTTAAACAGAAACTACACTTGAAAATTTAGGCTTCAAAAGATGAAAAAGATTCACTGGCTTAAACAATCGATTTCAACTGTATATCAATTTTCAGGTATACATTACCAATTTTTATTTTTTAAAAAGTAAGCCATTTTGATAACCAACAGGAGCTACATCAGGAAAACTATCCAAACACTTCAGAGACACTGCAAGTCTATACAGGCACCAAACTGCCAACGTGGAGCCTTTAAAAGACAAGTAAGGTTTACTCACACTTCTCCGATAGGTGCATATGTTGATCCAGTTATGGTAAACTCATTAAGGGAACAGGTATCACCTTCAACTTTGTCCAGAATGAACATCTACAGAAAAAAAAAAAAAAGCCTAAGTGTTTAAAAGATATAAAAAAAAAATATGCTAGAAGCATATAACCTTTGCTAAGACAAAAGGCTCTTCTCACTTAAGTGTCGAAGCTCAACATGAGAAGTATTGTTCCTTATTCTAACTAGACACTATTATAAAGACTGCCTCCCCCATTCATCTAACAGTCTGTAAAAGAGCATCACTGGGGTGCTGAATAAATAAGCAGCAATGGCACCAGGCAGAGGAGAAAGAGAACATACATGAAAACCAAGTTATGAGGACTCTGGGCCAATCAGTTCCGAAGACTCAGTAGTACTTTTTAGAATACTCAGAATTCCAAATGGCAGGCTGAGAAAGTGACCTAGGTATCCCCGCTTTAGAGCTAAGAGTAAAAGCCTAGGAAGAATAAACTCACGTATCAGAGTTGCATAAACATTCCCCAAGTAAAATAAGACAAATTGCTTCTCTACTCCTTCCCACTTACTTTTTATTGTGGTAATAGCTCATTTTCTATGAAGCTGCACAACCACATGTATATAGTAAGGAGCCCACAGAGCTGAATGAACTGATGTTACCAAGACGATAACAGATGGAAGCGTGCTTTAGGAAGGACTTCTTAATTTTACAGAATAATAAAGTGACATGAGCCAGTTTTTTAAGGTGAGGGTATTTTTTTCCCCCCTCTTGGTTTGCTTTCCAATTGTAATTCAGAAGTCCAGTTTGGAATGATCAAACCATTCTACAATAAAGAATTTTTAACATGTTAAACTCAAGTAAAAAAAGAGCCATGTAATGCTTTAAAAAATCTTTTCAGAGCATTCTGACTCATAGTCAGTAAGAAAATCTGATTTTGTTTTAAAATAACTTCCTTTGCCTCGTAAGATTTGTTTATTATATAGCATATACTTTTAAATTCCAGAAGCTTCATTTCAAAAGTATACTCAGAACTAAATCAATCTGGGAACTGAACTAAGGCTGTGAGACAAAAGGATTTAAAAAAAAAATTATATATAATTTAAAACTGTGGGATTTAAAATTGTGATGACTCCTGGTAAAAGGCTCTAGTTCAAACACATATAATTGGTGTGTCAAATGAGGAAAAGATTCATGTCCAAGGTCACATGCAGCAAGATCACCAATTCCTACAGTTTTTTTTCCCTAGCAGATATAACATCTAAAAAAGGAATTTTGGCAGAAAGCTCTTTCCAAAAATGTCTGACATTTACAGAAGAGGAAAAAAAGGAATAAAAAGAGGTTAAAGGATGTGCTCGAGGTTACACAATTATTAAGTGGGAGAGAGAAACAGGTTTTACTGATCTCTCCTATCAGAAAACTGAACTTTATCTTACTATTAAAAGTTGTGGGACCCTCAGACATGGCACAATTTCTCAGAGCCTATGTTTTCTAACCTCTTGAGCAGTATTACCATATGATTCAAACAAAATCACATGTGAAAAATTAACTGCACTAAGACTTATCAAAGCAAGTTGGCATCATTATGACTACACCGTGTCACTTCTTTAATGACGCTGTATATAAAAGTGAAGCTCTTTGGGTCTACACCACAGTACAAAATATTCTAAGACATTCAGAATTCTAACCCACACAAACTAAATCTGAATGCACACCGGCATTTTTAGACTGCAAGCCAGTAAACCATTTAGAAACTGCATGATGAAAGTATCCCTAAGTCAAGGGCAGTTATGCAACCCACTGCAAGAAACCTCCTGTAGAATACTGATTAGCATCAGCTTTCTGTCGCCAAAGGTAGAACAGAACAAAGAGGCAAGCTGTTTCTTTAACAGAACATTTGAAATCAAATTATTTAAGGGAAAATATAAGAAAAAAATCCAACATTTTTTGGGACCAAGGAAAGAAAATTTAGGTAGCTCAGTTACACTCTGCATCTACCTAAGACAAGCTAGAAGCTTGCCACCTGAACACCTGTCCATTATTTCTTTACCAACTGAGCTATTAGTATCTGGGTTTTGGACAACACAAAGAATTGAGGGTGCGTATATCAAAAAATTACCACAAATTTAAATTCGGTAAGAAAAGAGTCTGAGGGTTCAATGTATCAAAACAAGAACAATTTCTAATGCTAAAAAAACCCATTATCTAAAACCCAGAGATAAGGCCAAGGGGATGATGACATGTCCTTTCAATGTCATTCAGAAGCATTACTTAACAGGCACTTAAAGATTTTGTGTGCTGGGAAAACTTAACATTCTTTCACTGTGCTAGTATAAAAGGCTCAGGTTTTATGAACTTGTGGCTTTTCGTCCTCTATAAAAGATAAAACTTAGTTTTATTTCCCTGTATGATATTAACCAGTTTTTATAATCTAACACACACTAGTCCTATTCTAATACTGAGCACTTCCTCACATGTTCCTGTAACCAGTTTTACCATCTTGCTGATTTTCTCTCATTGAACTAATGACCCAAACAGAATCTTTGAAATGAATTTATGAGTTGTGTCTCTCTTGAAAAATTACTTTGACTTGTACAAATGATTTGACTTACAATCATCATGAAATGATTATCAGTCAATATCCATCTTCTAATATAGATACAATATAATAAAAGATTGTTTTCTCGTGATGAAAATTCTGAAGATTTACTCTCAACAACTTTTCACATATAATGTAGAGCAGTGCTGATTACACTTATCATGTTGTACACGACATTCCCTAATACTTAACTGGAAGTTTGTACCTTTTGTTCACCTTCGTCTAATTTCTCACCCTCCAGACTGAAAACCACAAATTTGCTCTTTTTCTGTTTGTTTCTGAAGTATAACTGACCTACACTATGTTATTACTTCCTGGTGCATGGGATAATGATGTGATACTTCTATACATTTCAAAATGATCATCGTTAAGTCTAGTTGTCATCTGCCACCACACAGAGATACTATGTTATTACTGACTGTTCCCTGCACACCTATGACACACTTATTTTCTAACTGGAAGTTTACACTGTTTTTCTCATCCTTCTACCTCAAAGTTGTTTGAATAAAACCTATGGAAATCGAATTACATGAAAGAACTTCATTCAGCTGCATCACTACATTATTTCTTTCTTCTGCTTAGGGCAGGTTTAAACAGTTTATTTTATCCTAAAGTGATAGTCAAAGCAACGTAAGAGAAAGGAAGGA